CCACTCACACGGTCTCTGTGTCTATCAAAATAAATAAATAAACTTAAAATACTAATACTTCTTAACCTACTAGTTCTTCTGGGTATCTGTTCTACAGAAATAAACACAGACCCAAAGTTTTATACAAAGGTACTAGTCATAGAATTAGTAATAACTGCAAAAATATAGAGGATAAAAACAAGCTGGATTTCAAGCAGTAAAGGAGTGGTATAATTTATTTGCTATGTGTACATACTTTTGGTAGAAACACTATACAGTATTATTAAATTTTTCACCCTTGATTCATTTTCTCAAACTAAGCCCCCCAAAACAGCATCTTACTACTTTTGTGAATTAGATTTCAGTGATCTGAATCTTCGATCTGTAAGAATGTCAAAAGAAAAGGGGTGCTTAGGTGGCTAAGTCAGTTGAGCATCCGACTCTTGATTTCAGATCAGGTCATAGTCTCAGGGTTTTGGGATTGAGCCCTGTGTCAGACTCCATGCTGAGTGTGGAGTCTACTTGTGATTCTCTCCCTCTACCCTTCTCTCTCCCTCCCTCCCTCTCTGTCTCTCTGTCTCTCTCTCTCAGTCTCTCGCTCTCTCTCAAATTAAAAAAAAAACAAAAGACGAAGAAGGGGTGCCTGGGTGGCTCAGTTGATTAAGCATCTGACTTCGGCTCAGGTCATGATCTCACAGTTCATGAGTTCTAGCCCCATGTTGGACTCTCTGATGACAGCTTGGAGGCTGGAGCCCGCTTCCAGTTCTGGGTCTCCCTCTCTTTCTGCCTCTTCCCCACTTGTGTTCTTTCTCTCTCCAGAATAAACATTTTTTAAAAATTAAAAAAAATATATCAAAAGAAAAGTATATTATGACCTAGTGAAATTTCTTCTAGGAATGTAAGGATGGTTCAGTATTTGAAAAATTATTCATATAATTAATTTATTAGCAGGCTAAATGGAAGACGGGGAGTAATAGCACAGTAAATATGAATTTAATGATAAATCTAATAAAATACCTATGATTTTTTTTACATCTATCTGAAAAACAGTTGCCGTTTATGCTTCATGTAAAAACGACATTAAACCTTAAAATACATTATCAAGTACACCAAAACTAATATAACACTGTATACTAAATTAAACTTCAATTAAAAATAATAAATTTTAAAAATGGGTTTTCAAATTATTCCACTTGCCATTATTATTTAACAGTGCCTAGAACTATTAGCCAATGTGATTACCAAAAACAAAAAATCTGAAATAAAAGCATGGGTAAAGAGGATGTGTGTGTTACCAATGTGTGCAAATAATATGCTTTATCTCCCTAGAAAAGCCAAATGAGGTAACTGAAACACTGGTAGAGATCAGTAGGGTAGCTGGGTACAAAAGTATGTAAACATTTTTAAGAATAACATGTAGATAATAACATAAAAGGAGACGTGTAATGCACAGTTGTAGCAAAAAAATAGAGAACATTGGAGGGTAACATTAATTAGAAATGTGACAGATCTATATATGAAGAGGGATAAATGAAGGCATGAGTAACTGAAGGATGGTGCCATGGTGTTGAGTGAGAATTCTTCCTTAGTTACTCATGAGTTTAATACAATACCAATCAAAATTTTGGCTTTTTGGTGGCAGGGGGAACGTAGTGTTAGCATGATGGATGATTTCAACAGTTCACTGGCAAAAACAAGCATGCTAGAAAAGCCAAAGTATTTTGGAGAGGTAGAGTAGAATAACTAGAATTGCCCAAGCAGTTTTACTAAAACAGATGTCAGTATTGATGCCATTTAGACAGCAGGTATCCAGAACTAAACTGAGGGGCGCCTGGGAGGCTCAGTTAGTTAAGCATCTGACTTTGACTCAGGTCATGATCTCACAGTCATGGGGAGTTCAACCCCACATCAAGCTCTCTGCTGTCAGCACAGAACCCGCTTCAAATCCTCTGTCTCCCTCTCTCTCTACTCCTCCCCCACTAGCCCGAGCTCATGCTGTCACTCTCTCTGTCAACAAAAACTTTAAAAAAATATTTAAAAGAACTCGGACGTCTGGGTGGCTCATTTGGTTAAGCGTTAAACTTCAGCTTAAGTCATGATCTCAGGGCTCATTAGTTCAAGCCCTGTATCCAGTTCTGTGCTGACAGCTCAAAGCCTGGAGCCTGCTTCAGGTTCTCTCTCTCTCTCTCTCTCTCT